CCTCATCCATGCTACCGCCACCCCGGGCCTCTAGACCCCCATATACCAACCTCTCCCATTCTTACCCATTTCGTCTCCCATAGTGTTAGATTATATTTTTGTCAAAAAAATATTTTCCGCTAACCAACCAATCACTAGAAAATAAGTAAGAAAATCACTTATTTTCAAAAAAATATTTTCTAGGAAAACATTTTTCCTTCATACCAAGACACACCCCAAATTTCATAGTTCCCTAATCCCTCCGTTTCAATTTATTAATCCTATTTCCTTTTTAATAATTTAAAAAAGAAGGACCCCTTTCAATATTTAGAGACAATTAAATTTTAACTTCTAATTTTTCCTTTAATGAGAAACTTTACAAAAATTATCGCATGTTTAAGATCACAAGTATCAAAAATTGCAACACCACAAGTTCTAAAAGTCTTCCTCTCTTTCTTAAACTTTGTTCCCAGTCAAATTGATTCACATAAACTGAAAAGGGGAGTAGTTTTATAATGAAGTCGAAATGAAAGAGAAGCATATTTGGCTACAGCAGATAAGCAAGAAAACTATAGAAAAGGAAACCAGATGCACGGTAAGTTATACAAGTAGAGTTACATTTATATTAACTCAGGTCCAGGAACGGAGCTATGTAGAGCCAAACTTCGTCGGAAAATTATATTGTGCACATAAGGCAACAAAATTTTTAATTATATGCATATTGTTAAATCCCTTTATTAGCATAAGGGAAGATTCTAGTGTACCAGCAAAAGGATTCAAAAATTGCTTTAGGTTGCTGGTTCATACCTCAGGGTGACATTCTAGTATTGTTTTAAATCCCCTTGTACATATTACTAGCTCCGCCATTGATTAGGTCCATATAAAAAATTATACTAAAGGCACTGAAATTTATCAAAATCAAATTTCATGTTTTCCTGTTTTCAGTTTAAAAGTAAAAGAGTAAAAAAAATATAGGTACCGAAGATAATCAGTGGTATGCAAACGAACGCCACTTTCCACGAGCAATAAAACCTTCTCACTCTCCCCTGACTCAGTAACTCCACTGCTGTTCATTAGCTTAAACACATAAGTCTGCAATCCAACACACATAACAAACATCAGCCAATCGCGGTTTTACACAAATAAATTTTAAAAAAAAACTAATCAGAAAGAAACAAAAGAAAGGAAATGGGAAAACCTTTGGGGAAAGATCATAAACGTTGGAACAACGCATTCCGATTAACCGGCGCAAGCATTTGACTTCTGCGGCCACATCCGCGGTGTTCATTCGCACCTTCACCATCTTCGATTACAGTTTCTCTGCAAACACAAAGGGTTAAATGAAGCTTCCCTTTCTCTGGTTGGTTAGGGATTTTGATTTTTGGAGCTAACTCAAAATACCATTGACGTATCCATTATATATTAGATTAGTTCAATGCTTTTAAATTTTTTAATGATTAATCAGTCAAATTAAAATTGTAAATCCGCCACCTGTAGTTGGGGCTTGTTGTCTAGTCTAAGTGCTGTTTCTTTTTTTTATTTTTCTTGTTTTGTCTTTGAGCAGTAAATATTTCATAATTTTGGTAAATAAAATTATTTAATTAATAAAAATAAATTAAGCATATATAACCTTCAATTAATTAAAACTTTTACCATTGATCCCTTTGCTTGTAAACTTTTCACAAATTTACCATTATTATCTATTATTCCACCACTTAATTATCCATGTATTATGTTAAGCTAAAAGTGATATAGTTATAAAAATCCAAATATAACATATTTCCTAAACAAATAGACCAAAAACATATATTCTACTTAATTGTAAGTTAAATGTATTCAGGTAATACCGGAAAAACTAAAATCACACTTTACTAATAACAGGGGCCAAAAATGCATATCCCACGTTTAGTGCAATTTTGTCTCGTGCCGGTCCTCCTCCATCTCTTGCTTTTGTGACCTTTTCTTTTGTTTTTAACTTGAACATTTTGACCAATCACTGCTATTGGACAAAACATTCGAATTTTTTGGTGAAAATTAGCCCCTCGGCATTCACTATATAAACGTGTGGATTTATTATAATATTCAATAATATTGTAACTATTTTATCATTAATAAACTTTAACTGAATATAGTTTGAAACTGAAATTGGTGGGTTATGTCAGGCCAAGGCAGTAGTGCAACACTAAAGCTACACTTGAAGGCATTGATAGCACGCTATTGGATAGACCTTCCCCTAAAAAAATTGTGTGAGTCATCTATATTAAACTGATACGAACATATACTATATTTGATCTTAGCCAAAAAGTCGAGAGGTGTATGCTTTTTCATATGTGTCACTTAGACTCTTTTATATCTAACTTTGTACATAGGAGCTCTGCTATTCATTCGATGTGAGACTAGAAGAGCTTCTATACATCCCCTAAGAGATAAGATTATGTTGATGTGCGAACAGAGTACTACATTGGTAGCTGAAAAGATAAGAACGTATATATAAGGTGTTAGAACTGTCAATATGAGCTTGGCCCGCTGGGCCGGTCCAGCGCAGCCCGTGATTTAATAGGGTTGGGCTAAGATTTTTGGAGCCTATTTAAAAATGAGGCTTTTAAGCGCGGCCCAGGTAAGCCTGTGGCCCATAAGGCTTGACCGAGGATGAGTTAGACTGGCCCGTGGGCTTAATTATTTAAATAAAAATATAAAAATATAAAAAGCAAAAAATAACAAAAAAGAATAGTCCAATCTCAAACTAGTAGCATTTTTATGTGAATTCAAATGTTTTTTGTTCTTAAAATTTTAGTTATTTCTTAATGTTTAACTAATTAATATCGCATATAATTATAGATATAGATGAAAATGAAGATGTTAAGACATCTTTGTTTCACGAAACGATCCAAATGTTTTTGATGATGATAATTTGTTAGTGTTGGATATGCCATGAGCACCTTAAATATATTTTTTAGTTTGTTTTGAGTATTAACTTTTAATAAATGAAATATTGTCCTCCTTTTTGTGTTTTGTAGTAATCTATTAAAATAATATCAAAGATTGTTAAGTTTACAGAAGCTTTCTATCCAACAAGTATGTTTTTAGTCTAATCTCGAAGAAGTAGAGACGAGAGGTCGACTTCGACACTTACTAGTGGTCCAATAATGATATATTATTAATGCGAATAATCATGGATTTATTAAGAATGACAGTAATTTCAAATAAGTCACGAACAGGTAAAAGTTCCTTTTTATATTAAAGGTCTCCGGATTCATAATCCATTAGTTTTCAATTATCTCAAGTCGGGGAGAGCAAATATCAATAAATCTCAAGGCAAGCAATACAAGCATGCGCAAATCATGCCGAGGTCGTACGGCCCGATCCAACAATTTTTAAACTGTGCACTGCCGCGGGTCGAACGACACGAACCATAGATGCATCTATTATACCGCTCGCGAATCATACATGCGACACAGTCAAATATAAATAAACACAACAATCAGTCAATCAAGAATTCATCAAGGAACAATTATCCAAGGAAGAGCCAATTCTCTTTTAACAATTCAAGAAAATGAAGTTTAATCTTTTTTAGAAATTCATTTACTAATTCGATGTGATTTAAGCAAATCAAACTGTCAATAAAATTACAGATATTCCAAATATAGCATGCTTTTGGGTCCTAAACTACCCGGACTTAAACATAATAGTAGCTACGCACGGACTCTCGTCACCTCGTGCGTGCGTAGCCCTCATAAATAGGAGCACACAACCAATTAACTTACCTATGGGGACAATTCCCTCTTACAAGTTTAGAAAGGAGACTCAGCTCGCCCCGAAGATCCATAACTGGCATTCCACGCTCTTCCGAAGACTCGCATCAATGCACAATACTCCAAAACTATCCAATTATTATGCAAATCCATTTATATATGTTCAATTACTCATTACAATCCAATTTATAATAATTCCTAACCCCGATCGAAAAGTTGACAAAAACACCCTCGGGCCCACGTGCCCGAATTCCGAAATTTTCGAAGATGAGGTTTACCCATGAACTCACGAACTCAAATATATGATTTTCTCTTAATTTCATACTCAAAATCGTGGTCAAATTCCAAGAATATCAATTTTCTAAGTTTTCCCTCAAACCCCAAGTTTTCTACAAATTTCCTTGTCCAAATCCGTATATAATTATGTATTTAGCATAAATTACTTACCTCATGCTTGGTGGTGAAAATGGCACCTCAAAGTTGCTCCAAAATCGGCTCCAATGGAAGAAAATGGGATTGAAATGAACCCAGCCCCCGATTTAAAGGAACCTCACTACCTCCAGCATTTCCGCACCTGCGGTCCCTTGACCGCTTTTGCGGTTCCGCAAGTGCGAGCCACTCTACCGCTTCTACGGTTTCCTCCAGACTCCCCTTTTTCGCTTCTGCGCCTCGTCCACCGCATGTGCGATCCCGCTTCTGCGGCTCCATGACCGCATCTGCGGTCTCTTCACTTCTGGCCAAAACTGCATCTGCGGCTCTTCTGACTACTTCTGCGGCCCAAATTTCGCAGGTGCGGTTATATCAGCAACCAGCAACTTCAGCCCTTTCAAAAATCCTATTTTCAATCTGTTAACCACCCAGAATCCACCTGAGGCCCTAGGGACCCCAACCAATCATACCAATCAGTCCCAAAATACATTACGGACTTGCTCAAGGCCTCAAAGCATAGCAAATAACGCTAAAACCATGAATCGACCTCCTATCCAAGCTTTATGAACTTTAAAACTTCAAACTTCTACTCTCGATGTTTAAACCTATCAAATCACGTCCGATTGACTTCAAATATTGCACACAAGTCATATTCGATATTACGGACCTACTCCAACTTTCGGAATCGAATTTCGACCCCGATATTAGAAAGTCCACTTCCGGTCAAACTTCTCAAAAACCTTTAAATTTCTATATTTAGCCAAATGACTTCAAAATGACCTACGGACCTCCGAATTCACTTCCGATCGCGCTCCCAACTCCAAAATCACCATACGGAGCTACTCCCAAACTCGGAATCCCAACGGACATCGATAACACTGAAATGCACTTCAAGCCAAACTTATGAAATTTCTTCCAAAATGCTAACTTCCACAATAGGCGCCAAAACGTTCCTTGGTCTTCCAAAACCCGGTCTAGGCATACGCCCAAGTCCGAAATCATCATACGAACCTGTTGGAATCTTTGAATCCAAATTCTGAGGTCATTTACTCCAAATTCCGATCCTAGTTAATTCTTTCAACTTAAAGCTTTCGAAATGAGAATTCTCTTTCCAAATTAACTCCGAACTTCCCGAAATTCAATTCCAACCACGCGTACAAGTTATAATACCTGAAATGAAGTTGCTCATGGCCTCATACTGCTAAATGACGCGCTATAGCTCAAAATGACTGGTCGGATCGTTACAGCGCCGCCAAAAATCGCCTACGACAGCGGCCCGTCTCCAAACATCACCCTATAATCCCAGCCTCCTCTCATCTCCGATCTACCTCCAAATTTCCTCAATCCCCACTAGAACTCCCTGAATTTCAAATCTCAGAAACCCTAGAAACCTAACTTTGCCTTTTTCTAATTTCTTTGATAAATTCAACCCGTTTTGACCTAAAACTTGGTTTTGCTCACTTCGAAGTTACCGGAATCCGCCGGCCAGAGTTTCATCGTCACCAGTGCTCGTTGGTTTGCCTCAGTCACTGTCTCCTTTAAGCTCTAAATCAGTATATCTCTCTTCTTATCTTTTCCTATCCTTTTGTTATTTTCTTTTCTTTTTTGGATTGTTAACTAAGTTTTAATTTTTAAATTGCATGATCAATTAGAATGGTTAATGAATTGATTTAGTTTATTTGAAAGTATGATTAATTAATTAATTGCATAATTAGTAGTCCAATTACATACTAATAAGTTTTAATTACCTAAGTTTAATGAATTGTTGAAAGTTTGATTTTGTGCACTGGTTTTCGGTTCAGAATCGTATATGCCTTTTGGTTGTGGCTATTTGTGATAATTAGAAAACTTTAGGAGGGTAAATGAGATAGAAAATTAGGGAATCTTTCTTTTAGCTACTGGAAAGTTCTAGAAGGGTCTTGAAGGGGTTTAAAATGCAGTATTTCAAAAGCAAAAGGAGAGGGAAAACAAAAAAAACTTAGAAAATAGGCTAAGGGACAACTGTCCTTTTATTGTTAGAAAATATGCTATTTTCCTAAATTTTAGGGAAGGCTGACAGATTCTTCTTAGATTCTCTCATTCTCTATCCTCTTGCACATCATTTTCTATATAAGACCTCACCTTCTTTCACTTACATACAAGAAAAAATCCTCTGAAAAAGCCAAATCCTCTCTTCATTTTTACTGATTCACTGATGTTCCTAAAAGAAGAACAC